TACTTGTATTGTCTATTTCCTTTAGCTGTGATCTCTTTCCAACAGCCCTGCATCTTACCTTTCAAGGAAGTGGGGGAGCATCACTCTAATGCCAAAGCTCACCATATGAACCAGGAAACGAGACCAACTCCTGGCAGAACTGGAGCCTCTGAAATAATCTCTGTTGTGAATGTGTCAGCTTCCAAGTCCACCCTCGTGAATCTTAATTTCCCCACTTCAGATTCATTTCAGTTCTACATGGCCCAGTGTTCGCTGCGCATATTTGCACAGTTCATCCCCATCATTCTAGAATCTCTGCAGCTTGCCTCTTGTTGCTGCAGGCACCCCACCTGGAAGGTTATAGCACCCTCTTCACAAAGGGCCTGTTTCACACCCTGCCAGACCTATAAGAGTTTGTCTACACTCTGAAGGAGACTTCCCTGTCAGCCTTACCAGGCACCCAGTCCAAACTGGATGGACAAACATACCCTTACCATGCACTCACCTTAGTTCCTAAGCATCCTCCCAACTCTAGACTTCTTGGAGGCATGCTGGGCACACATCAAGCACCCCACCATTGATCATAGTGTTCCCCAAGAATTTCAGCATAACACTCCATACAGAAAACCTATAGTCATTACTCTAGACACAAATCTCCCAGCTTCTGTTTCCACATAAGGTGCCTAATAAATGATTTATTGGAAGAATGTGTTGGAAAGACAATGGTGGACCAGGAATGACCCAGTGGATGAATGGATGCACATATGTGTGGGTGTATACATAAGTACATGGGTGGATGGATAAATAGATGTGTAAGCATCTGGTCTGTGGACCTGTAATGATGGCCACACCCCTTTGGGTGTGGCTTCAGGCAGATGGAAGCAGAAAGAGAGGAGCTTGAGGCGTGGCTTTCCTGGCTGGTGGGCCGATCTGGTAGGGAGAACAGGGAAATACTCCAGCAGTTCTTTGTATTTTTCTGTGTAATTGTTCCCCAATAAACACCCATTTATCATTTATCTTGGGTCTATGATATAATTACATACTCGCCTTGATAGCTATATAGACGAGTAGATGATACGCTTATCTAAAAACTGGAAAAATGCAGTGAAAGCCTATTACTGATGGTGTAGCCGAGGACAGAGATCTAGAACCAGACCAATGACTCATTACAATGAACACTTGTAAGTGAAGAAGAAAGGACTAAAGGGTGAAAACCGGGCCACATCACAGCTTCAATGATAATATTTATTTTTTGTTTTGGACTGTTTGGGTTTTGGTTTTTCTTTTCTTTCTTTCTTTCTTTCTTTTTTTTTTTTGATTGTTTGTTTTGGGGAGTTGCAAAGGTGGAGGAGGGCAGATGCAGGGAAACAGCCAGGAGATGGGTGGCATTGAGATGTATGGTGTGAAATCCACAGAGAATCAATAAAAGAAAAAAGAAAAAAAACTGGAAAATATTTCCTCAGGGTCAGCCCATAGAAACTGTGGTCCAGATCAGGGTCAAAGTAGCAATTCCTGTTGGCAGATGAACTTGGTAATGTGCAAGAACCACACAGGTGATATTGCTTTAAAATGCTTTAATAGGTTATGGACAGTACTGGAGGCTTGGGACTGTGTGCCAGGGCTGGAGACCCTGAAGAGAGACTAGCCAAGGATGAAGCTTTGGGACTGAGGGGTTATTAAATCTGAGGCTTAGTAGAATGTGGCAGGGACAGAGCCCCTAAAGGAGGGGCTCAGTTGCAGTGTGGACCCACAATTTTGGAGATGTCAGTACCATGGAACAACTACTAAGGACAGCACCAACTGTACAGTGAAGCCAGACTGGGTCAGGAAGACAAGATGCATGTGGTATGCATAGCAGAGATAGAATAATGTGCCTGTCCAAGGCCTTTGGGGTCATGAAGATCATGAGTAAATCCTAGGGACTAGATATTGAGTTATTTGTTGAAGATGGGTGTTGCTTTGTTCAGAATGTGACTGTTCCCTGATTCTTCCTTCTTGGAGTAAGAAAGCATTTTATTTTAATCTGTGCTTTCATTGTATTGTATTGTATTGTATTGTATTGTATTTTTCAGACATGGTTTCACTATGTAGCTTTGAAACCTGTCCTGGAACTTGCTCTGTAGACCAGGCTGGCCTCGAACTCACAAAGATCCACTTGTCTCTGCCTTCTGAATGCTGGGATTAAATATGTATGCCATCACACCTGGTGTAAAATATTTATATATATATATATATACATATATATATATATACATATATATGTATATATATATATATATATATATTTTACACCAGATGTGATTTTCTGAGATACTTGGGCAATAAAGAAACTATATATTTTAAAGAGACCCAAATTTTAAATATAGTGAAATATTAACATTATCATGCTTTATATTGTGATATTAATATAGGATTTGGGGGATGAACAGGAAAGAAAAGGTTATGGACTAATAAGTAATGTGTACAATGTTGACAAAGTGTGAATTTTGCTATTTGATTTTTGTTTTGACACAAATCTAGAAATATCTGGGAAGAAGGGATCTTAATTGATAAAATCCATAAGCTTGGGCTATAGGCAAGTCTGTAGTGCTTTTCTTAATTAGTGGTTTATATGTGAGGGTTTATATGTGCTCACTGTGAGTGGCACAACCCCTGAGCTGGTGGTCCTGAGATATATAAGAAGGCAGGGTGAAAAAGCCATGAGGTGCAAGACACTAAGAAGCACTCCCCCATGGTCTCTGCTTCAGTTACTGCCTCCAGGTTCTTGCTCTGTTTGAGTTCCTACCGTGACTTCCTTCCATGATGGACTGTGGTGTGTAACTGTAAAATGAAATAAACTGTTTCCTCCCCAAGTTGCTTCTGGCCGTGGTGTTTTATTGCAACAATAGAAACCCTACCTAAGGTTGATGGATAGATGGATCAATGAAAGGGTGGAAGGATGGATGTGGGTGGATGCATGAATCGAAGAATGTAAGGAGGAATGTAAAGATGGAAGGAAGGAAAGGAGGAAAAGCATTGCTAAATTGACAGGAATTATATTCACCATGGAAAAGCACCTCCTGGGTTGTGTCTGTGAGAATCACTTAGGAGAGAATTTGTAACTGAGAGAGGAAGATGTACCCTAAATGTGGGCATCACTAAACCATGTTCTGAGGTCCCAGATTATATGAAAAGGAGAAAGTGAGCTAAGGACCAGCATTCATTTCTCTGTCCGATTGCTGAGATGGTGTAGATATAATGTAACCATCTTTCTCAAACTGAGCCTGTGTAGATACAATGTAACCAGCTTTCTCAAGCTACTCAGACAAGCTACTCAGACAGAATAGATACAATATGACCAGCTTTCACAAGCTTCTGCTCCCATGATTCCTGCCATGATAGACTATTCGCTCAAGCTGTGATCAAAAACAGACTTCCTTCCATAAGCTGCTACTAATAGGTACTTTGTCACATCTAAAAGAAAATTAGACAAAATAAATGGGAACATAAAAATTCTTCCATGTTCATCTCCTTCTTCAAGGCTCAAAACCCTAAAGCTGGTAGTAACAGAACTCTCACAGTAGCAACACCTCAGTCCACCCTGCCTGTGTAATCTCAGCACCATCACCCTAAGTGACCCCACTTATTCTGTATTTTCTTCTCCCTACTTGCCACAGAGAAACTCAGGCATCTGTGGGCCTTTCTTCAGCAAGCTCTGGGGCTGGGTTTTATAATGAGTGTGAAATGATACCTCCAGCCCCCATTGATGGATTCTTAAGAGTCTCTTTCCTTACCCAAATACATTGGCCCTCAGAACAATCAGTCCAGAACAGGTATCCATGGGCACACTTCCTCTCTCTACCTGCAGCCATGCCCATATGGGCTTTGTGCTTCAGCCATTGGAATATGGTGGGAGCATAATTCTTTGTAAGCATGCACCAGCATGGTGACTAAGGTTTAGGAACAGGAGTCCATCTTCCTGGATGACTCATTCAGTCACCTCTGCTGAACAATGAATCCTATGACAAGGTCCAGGTGAGCACACTTCAGGTGCACCAGGTGGCTTTAAGCAGCACTTTCTTCTTCCCCGTGAAGACAGAAAGGAGCTGTCCTCATCCAGCTTTAATGTTGCCACCCTAATTAGCACCCCAAAGTGCTGAGGCCTCCACTTCCCTCCTGCCGGGTCACAGGCCCTAGGGTAGGCTTATCTGTGCAGCAGGAGCACCAGCAAGCAATTTTTCCAAATGACCCACTCATCATTAATTCTTATTGATGTTAAAACTTTGCTTTTTAGCAAAACCAAAAAAAAAAAAGAACTGTTCCCAGAGCACCATACTGTATGTCAATAATAGGAAGGAAAATAAATGTTAAAACATGCTAAATAATTGCCCAACAGTACTTCTGCTAATGACCGAAAACTTCTACTATGCTAATTTTTCTCTACACTTTTAATTACTGATCAATAATACTTTGCAGTTGACATTTAAAAATGCTGAACCACATGTAGGAACACAGACCAAGAGAAAATCTACAATGTGGGACTGAGTTAGCTAAATCAATAAACGTTGCCATTTAACAAATAGTAGCATGTAAACAGCCACTAAGATTAGCAGGCGTGGAGGGCTGAGCCTGGAGGAGTTAATTACTGTTTAGTAACAGAGCATTGCCTGTTTTCTGGGGAAAGCTCCCATCAGGCTTTCCTGTCTAGAAAACCTCTCTCAATACTGATGCAAGCAGGATACATGCTGGAAGGATGTGTGTCTCTGATGGACAGACAGGGAGGACATTTCCATGCATGGTGTCCTCCTTCACTACAATTCAAGGTTCTGCCCAGTGTCTGTAATTGATAGAACCATAAAGGCATGAGACAGAGCTATGAGATTTTCAAGCCATCTCTCCTGGGCGTATCAATACCACGCCAATCATTCATTTGGAGTTTAAGGGATTGAAGTAATCAAATATCCATCCACCTTGCAGACTGAAGAAAGGGTGGGCTTTGAACATGCATGCAGACCCTAGGAAAATCAATGTTTGCAGCTCACTGAGGGAGAACATAAGCAATCTTCATTTTTATTATTATTAGCAATAATAATAAATCTTGACTTAAGCATCACAAGCATGTGATTATTGAAATGTCATTTTCTGCAGGAGAGGTAGATGTGATTTTTCTTAGCCAAGCTGGGGCCCTGGCTCTCTGAGTTGCCAGACAGTGGTATGAACAGTCACAAAGTGGCAGTCACCTGTGCCCACTCTTATTCTCCTTTACCTTGCTGCCTTCAGAATCAGCAGCTTCTTGCTTCTGGTTAATGGAAGCTAGAGGTGTGGGGAAGATTATGAGATTCCCCTTATTCCTTGCTCTGACGGCAACCAGGATGCCTCTGCTGAGTGTGTTCTCCTAACATTTCAATTCTACCAGAAGTCCTTTAGTGTTTCTTCTATAAGCACATCTGGGCTGTGTTCCCCAAGCTTCACGAGATTAATCCATTGTGATTCAAACCAACTGTAGATGAGACCCTGACCTTAAAGTCATGTCTGACTTGGGACCCTGATGATAGGGGTCTCCTTCTGGTTCTCCTTCTGGCTGCTTCTTCTTCTTCTTCTTCTTCTTCTTCTTCTTCTTCTTCTTCTTCTTCTTCATCTAATAGATGAATCTGATCCAGGGGGCAAGGCCCATGGAGGCAGCAGGCTTTGCTGCTGTCCTTTATAAAGGTTCTGGGTGGACCTCACCATGCTGTCTTCCACCCGGAGCCTCTGTGTCCCCCCCCCCAGCTTTGCTAGGTTGCCCAAGCAGGCCTGCTCTCCACTTCCACAAACAGTGTGACTATGGAAGCAGTAAGGATGCTGCCACACTCCCTAGCATCCCTGAAACTGGAAACTGCCTTCAGAAAAGAAATCTGATTGACACATATCTGCATAAATTTCCCATCTCTGAGTGAGGGGAAGCAAGAAGTTAAACCCTGAGGACAAAAACCTGGCCTTAAATACCATCAGATTTGACAGCTCCTCAGCCTCCTCCCAGCTGAGCAGATGATCCCTGCCTCCCACAGGGAGGGCTTCATCCTCCACACTGAGCAGGGATCTGACTACTGTGGGTCACCAGTATAGGCCAAGTATGGTTCTGTGGCTGCAAAAGGATTCCTAGCATGAACCACCAACAGATGGCTCTGCCCAGGACCATCTATACAACCTCCAGCTCTCTAAACACAGAAAGACCACAGACCACAGGCTGGCCAGGGCATTTGGGCCATGGCCAGAGTCTGAATGGTCACCTCCTCTCTGCACTCTGGGTCCAGTGAATTAATCACCTGAGTATAGCATGTAGAAGCTATGGCACCAGTAAGGGAATGGTGAGGCAGAGTCTAGGACTGAGGTCAGAGTGAGGAGTCAGGAGTGAGGAGTCATGGAAGTAAATAAAACTGAGAGTGACACGTGGGGGATAAAAGGAGGAAGGGATGTAGAGGATGGGGGAGGAAGTAGGAGGACAGGGAAGGATGGAGGAAGGAGGGGGAGGACAGGGGAGGAAGGAGGAAGAGGACAGTTGAGAGAGGAAGAAGGCAGAGGAGGACAAAGGAGATGGGAGGAGGTATCAGGATGAAAGAGGAGTTGAGAGGAGAGAGGAATCAGCAGGACAGAAGAGTAAAGAAGCCTAGAAAGGGAGGAGGAGGGGGACTCTGGAGGAAGGGAGGAAAGGGGGCCCTGGGCCTTCTGTCCTGTGCCTTCCTCCTCTGCTGCACATGGCTCCTGAGAGGCACTGTGCATGGGACCTCTGCCTGTCACCCTGGGGGAAGAGCAGGTAGACTCTCCTGATCCTCATAGAGCTCTGTCAGTACAGCTTGCTCCTGAAGCCACAGAAAGGACAGATCGATAATATCGAGTGGCTCTGTGCAGAAGCACACTGTAACAGTCACACTCTACCACCATCAGAAAGCTTGGCTGCAAGGGCAACGCCAGGGGCAGCAAGGGTGGAAGGAGGCAGGTGGTGAGAGAGGTTTGGTTCAGCAAGGCTGGGTGACAAGATTTAGACTGATGTGTGGTAGAAAAGTATTCTACCACTGAGAAGCACCCCAGCACTATGAATTAATGACCAGGGGACCCAGGGGACCCAGGGGACCCAGGGGAACCAGGGGAACCAGGGGACCCAGGGATCTCTGTGATTATCTTTGCAGGTGAGTGGTCAAAGGGAACCAGCAAAGTCACCCTGCAGCCAGGTCAGCATTCCAGGGAGTACTGGGAAGGGTAGAGAGCTGGAAGGAGTCAGAACAGCGAGTCTGTTGCTGATGAACTCATCAACTTGGGAGGTTCAAGTCCCATGTTAGGATTCAGTGTTTTTGACTTCATTTTTTTTCTTTTATAATTCTTGGGAAACTTGCATCGGGTTGTTTTAATTGGGCTGTTAATCACTTCGAAACAATAAGTATGTATCTTATGCTGTAATGAATTCCAAAAGCTGTCATTCGGATGTATTTTGAAAAAGAGAAATATTGAGAAATTTCTCTGTGGGAAGGGAGCTAACAAAAGTAAAGTCAGCTTCCATTGCTTTCAGATGTGTGTGCAAGATCAGTCGCAATTATCCCACGGCATCAACGGGGCTCCATTAGTAAAATGCAATAAGCACACAGCCCCTGAGATGGTCCTGCCAAGCCCCTCATCTCAGGAGCAGATCCCTCTGAACTCACTCGAAAGATTAACGGGTACAGATCCTCCGGGAAATCACACATCCATCAGCCTGAGTTTGCTCCTGATTTCTCCAGAAATATCTAAACAAAAAACCAGGAGTGAATTAAGCACAGTCATGATTTCCCAGGACCTTTGAAAAGCCCTTCTCCCCTCTGCCAAGCATTCACAGAGCCCCAAGCCAGCATCTCTCTCCTCCATCTGCCTGATTCTTCCTAGACCCCAAATCTCAGCATGCCTCACAAAGTTAATTTTTAGCTGTTTGCCATCGTCAAGTGGTACAATGGTATAGCTGAAGGCCCAAGCACACTGCGCTATCTTCCCCATCTACCCCACAGTTAACTGCCTTTGATCTTATCACATGGTAGATAAATAACTGAAATAATCTCCATTTAAATATATTAGGTTGTTTGACATAGGTGCTACACATGAGGAAAATCAATACTGATTAGGCACTCGCCAGATACAATGTAAACGCATACCACACAGTCTTTATGGGCCTGATAACATCATAGAGATCCCCACCAGAGTCAATAGCCATTAGTTTTCGAAAGTGGTCACTTGAACTTGTGAGGGTGGCTGTGCGCCCCAGAGCCAGGCTGTCCATGGGCGTCGTACATGAGCTTCACAGAAGGGAAGAGGAGTTTCATCCAACTGTTCATCACAGCAACAGGTGAAACCTTTGAAAACTGAAGCATTTTCAGGTTGTTTGCGTTAAAACATGTCAGGTATTTTGCTGGTTTGGAAAGAAAGTTTAACAGCAAAGGAAACCACTTACAAATGCAGTTGGATTCAAGTATCCACTTGTTCTCCTGCCATGTCAAATTCAACTCCAGGCTCTGCCCTTTGAAGGGGAGTTGTGATCCCAACAACAATGTGGCTACTCCTGAAGATGCCGGGAGACTCGGAGACACAGGTCTGTCTGGCAATGTTTCTTTCCAAGGCTGTTGTCAAAGGTGAGTGTTCACCACTGATGTGTCTGACACTGTGAAGGCACTGTAACACTGAGAAGAACACAGGTCCCTCTATTCTGACATCTAAACGTTGAAAGTCAGGTTTCATAGCCAGTGTCTCAAGCTGAGAAATGGGTTCATTGACTCAACCACAATTATTGAGTCTTTCTTGAGATTGTTTTTTGAGTGAAAAGGTTGCATGATGGTCCATCCATTCTGAGCCCTGCAAGGCCAGCCTGTGACATAGGTTTCTCTTTGCTGTCCTTGTCTGCACAAATTCCAGGAAGCAACCCTGAGGACATCAACCAAGATTACAGCAAAGGTAATCCCCTTGTTCAGATCTGTGGGAGAAAGAGGTCCACCAAGCAGGACTCAGATGCAGATGCAAGGGCTACATGAGGGAAGCAGTAATCCAGCAAGAGCCAGCATACCTCCATGTCTGCCTCCTTCCAAAAGGAAAAGCAAGAGGAAGGACCATGGTAACTTCCCACCCACCCCCACCCCCACCCCTGGCCTACAACACACTGTCAAATTTAACCACTGAAGGTTTGCTTTGTAATCACAGGGTTCCATACTCTATCACCTTCCCCACCCCCACTAGCCCATCTAATGGTTTTAAAGGGAAAAGAAATTACTTGTCCTCACAGCCAGCCCTTGACACTTTTATGAGTCATTTGTAATGAAGCTATTCTTTGGCTTTAATGGAGACCTTGATTCTGACCACTGTGAATAATTGTCAAAAGGTGATTAATTAAATATTCACCACTCCCTATAAAATTGATCAACATATTACATTATGCTGGTCTGAAGTTATTTTATTTCTCCATTCTCTCTGCAATTCTATGCATTTAAACAAGCTTTAAACTGGAGCTATATAATTTACTGCATATTAATTATGCACACACACTGACTAAAGTGAGGGGGAGTGTTTTACACCTTTTGTAACTCCATAAAAATACACAACCATGACTCACCATGCTGGGAAGTCCTGTTCTGGAAATGGAAGGTCTAACAACGACTTCCTGTGTTCACAAGGAGAAAGTCCCGGTAACATGAGTTAAGGCTGACCACCACGTAGTTCAGTCTACCATATAGTCAATCTAAGGGTGTCAATTATCATCTCACACAGGACATTGGAGCATGCCTGTTGAGCTGTCTCTTCAGCTCATAGAACTCAGGCTGGGATGGGAATGAAGGCCAAGGGAGGGAGATGAAGGCTGAAAACTTGATTGAAAGGAAAAAGACTCACGAACCTCTCTGGCACGAGTTATCTCTGGTCTTTCATGTTGGGAGTCTATATGGAAAGTCCTAGAAAACAAGCTCTTCCATTCATGTCCTCACAGACTGCTCTTCTGCTGACCAGGGGGCAGGTTGGGGTTATATGAAGGACTAAAAGCCCTCATTTCAAACACACAAGAAAAAAACTAACTTAGAACCTAAATAACCAAACCGTTCCTTATTATTTAGGTTTATTGATTAATCAGGGCCTTCTCCTGTAGCCCTTCCTCCTGCCTGGAGTGCCAGTATTATAGGTGTGTGACACTATACTTTGTTCAAACCAAATTTTATTAGCAAGAAATAGATGTGAGGATTTATGTCTAAAATCTATTTTAAAAAATAACTTAGGGGGGAAATATGAAAAACGAAACCCAAAAGACCCAAATTTTCCATTGCCAGTGACTCTGAGCTTGCTATGGAGAAAGAAGTGAGGACTGAAGGCTTTGGCACACCTGAGACAGAAGTACCATGGGTAGGATGAGGGGGTCAGAATGTGGGGGGCTAAAACACATTCATGCACACAGAAGCACTGGCCCTACTGAGTGCAAAGTGGGGCTTCAGGTCCTGTCTACATCTTAGGCCTTGCTGCAGCCGGAAGCTCCCAGCATTGAGCCCAGGCTGCTGAGGGTCTATGCTTAGAGCCTCGGAGGACCCAGCCAGCCACATCCTGGACGTCCTTGGAGGAGGCTCTTTGAACACAGATTACTGATTTCATTGAAGTAGTCAATCAACCTCCTTTTTCCCCCCGTAGGCTGTTAAAATGTCATTGAGTGAACATAGCAGATAAAAAAAATGATGAACCAAAAAATCATATTTCAACTTGAACAAACTTGCTATTTGTAGACTTGAGCACATGAAGCTGGGGCAGTCCGGCTGACTTTGGCAGCAGCTACAGGAATGAACCCCACAAAGGGACTGAGTTTAATCATCCAATCCCAGACTGTATTGATTTTGGGACTACTAGCAATGACTATATAAATAAGCCATTTCTTTGCCACTGTATCTGCAGCCGGTCATGAACCCAGAACCTTCACAACCTGGCCCAAAGTGAATTATGCCCTGCAGAAATAAATTAATAAAACTAACACAGCCGACCTTCTCCACCGAGTTATTTTCACATTTCAAGAGCTTAAAAATATAAAATCAATAATCATTTAGTCATAAGGGTAAATGAAGCGACATAACATCAAAGTCTACCCTTTAGCCATTCAAGCCGTCCTGGGTGATTCATCCCGTCAAAAGGCGGTGGTAATAATCCTTCCACTCGGAGACAAGCTGCCACACAGCTGCAGTATTATCCTAGAGTAAACAAGTTGGGAGAAAATATTAAAAATCAATATCTGTTTCCTCCTATCAGACCAGATGGCATCCATCATAAATCCGGCCGGTAAAGAGTTCTTGGAGTTGGTACCCAGAGTGAGGAACCCAGTGGAATTCACCACATAAGATGGAGATGCCAGCTCAGTAGAGACTGCAGGTGCAGGGTTAGTGCTTCAAGAGTGCAGGATTTCACAATAGCAAAAAAATGCTGAAATTACAATTAAAGAGAAATAATCTGTAGTAGCTATGGGGTGCCAAGAAGAAGTTGTTGCCAGCACAGTAAAGTGAGAACCCAAACAGCAGCTTCTAACACCCTGCATGTGTACTGAGCCATGCTTCTTTCAGGTCACTCTCTTAGAGATCCAGCCCTTCCATCTGAGAACTTATCAGGATGTCCCTGTTACCTTCTCCACTTTGATGCCTGTGGAAAACCATGACAGAGACTTGCTGACCCTAACTGCCCATGAACAAATAGTAGCTGTACTGCTACATCAGTGAGGAGCCCGTAGTGGGAATCAGAGAGGAGTCATATGCTCTCCATGTGCCTCGCACCCTGACAGACTCAGAGCTGAGCAGCAGCCAACACTGTGTCCATCCTGGAGGGAGCAGAAGGCTCTGAAATGTAGTCTGCTGTTGGGGGAACAAGAAGCTGACAATGTCTCCAAATCAGCCTCAAATTTGAAGATCTGGATGAATTTTGTTATTTCTAGAAGGTGGGACAATGTTGCTGTTCTCAGTGAAGGCCTTAGTGTCTCCTGTCAGTGTTACCAGGCTGTGCACGCATGCATGTACACCCATGTGCACACATACACACACAAACACACACATCATATACACACCAAACACACATGCACACACACACTCATGCACACACTCACACATACCATATACACACCCCATACACACATGCACATATACTCTTGCACACACACACTCACACAAACACCATACACACATGCACACACACTCATGCACATATACTTACACCATACACATGCACACACACAGTCACACACAAATATACCATATGCACATGCACACGTGTATACATACACACATATATGTATACACATGCACTCACATACCATACACCATACATGCACATGCACGCCCACAAATATATACACATACATTCACACACATACATTCTCATATATACACACACTTTCTTACATATACATTATCCTCACACACTCACACTCTCTCACACACACACCACACTGTCACTTGTTAAGTATCAAAACTTTGGCCACAGTCACTCCTCAGGAATGGTTGACAACAGCCTGGGGACCCTACTACAGAGGACTGCTTTGAGTATCCATCTCCACACCACGCACTCCCAAGTCACCTGGGCCACAAGCCTGACCAGCATCTCCTCAGCCCTTCCTCCTTGCTGTATTAGAGTCTTCCTGGTGAGACCCTTTCCATCTTGGTCTCTCTTGGAGCAAATGGCAGTTTAATGAGCAGTGGCCAGTTGGTTGTTTTTTCAGGGTTACATTACTTACACCCTTCTTCAGGTTCACATGGTAGAATGTGGCCCTTGATACTTCATGAGCACCTTGCTCAGACACAGCAAAGCTCTTAAATAATTCCAGGAACCTACAAAGAAAAAGGAAGTAAGTCAGACAGTGGCTAGATCCAATCACTGTCAGTGTCAGACAGTGGCTAGGCCCCCATCACTGCCAGTGTCAAGCAGTGGTTAGATCCCCTTCACTGTCAGGGTTGGACAGTGGCTAGGCTGCTATCACTGCCACGGTCAGACAGTGGCTAGATCCACATCACTGTCAGGGTTGGACAGTGGCTAGGCCCCCATCACTGCCAGGATCAGACAGTGGCTAGATCCCCATCACTGACAGGGTCAGACAGTGGCTAGGCTGCTATCACTGTCAGGGTCAGACAGTGGCTAGGCCCCCCCATCACTGCCAGGGTCAGACAGTATCTAGACCCCCATCACTGCCAGTGTCAAATAGTGGTTAGATCCCCCTCACTGTCAGGGTTGGATAGTGGCTAGGCCCCCATCACTGCCAGAGTCAGACAGTGGCTAGATCCCCATCACTGCCAGGGTCAGACAGAGGCTAGACCCCCATCACTGCCAGGGTTGGACAGTGGCTAGGCTGCTATCACTGCCAGGGTCAGACAGTGGTTAGACCCCCCCTCACTGTCAGGGTCAGACAGTGGCTAGGCTGCTATCACTGCCAGGGTCAGACAGTGGTTAGACCCCCCCTCACTGTCAGGGTCAGACAGTGGCTAGGCCCCTAACACTGCCAGGGTCAGACAGTGTCGAGGCCCCCCTCACTGTCAGGGTCAGACAGTGGCTAGGCTGCTATCACTGCCAGGGTCAGACAGTGGTTAGACACCCCCTCACTGCCAGTGTCAGACAGTGTCGAGGCCTCCCTCACTGTCAGGGTCAGACAGTGGCTAGGCTGCTATCACTGCCAGGGTCAGACAGTGGTTAGACACCCCCTCACTGCCAGTGTCAGACAGTGGCTAGATCCCCATCACTGCCAGGGTCAGACAGTGGTTAGACCCCCCCCTCACTGCCAGTGTCAGACAGTGTCTAGACCCCCCCCTCACTGTTTGGTCAATATCCAGGCAGGAAGGATAGGTGGGGCTACCAGACCAGGGGAAGCCTGGAGAGAAGGAGCAGAGAGAAGACAGGAAAAGACATCATGTAGAGACCCGGAAGATAGGATGTGCCAGGCATTCTCTGCTAAGATAAGGCCATGTGAAAATACATAGATTAATAGTTATGTGTTAATAATTAAGAGAGAGCTAGACAGTAAGAAGCCTTAGCCACTGGCCAATGGTTTTATAATAATACAGCCTCCTTGTGTTTATTTGGGGTAAATCAGCTGCGGGACCAGGCAGGACAGAAACCTCCATCTTCAGGGACCTCATTGGACCACTGAGCAGTTGGAATGGGACCTTCTATAGACAGTTGTGGAGGAGTTCATCCTCCATCCTGATACAAAGCTCCACTTCCTGAACAGCCTGGAATACAGAGCATGCATCTCAAAGCTGTGACAAAGTGTCACCATCCCCAGCTGAGGCCATCCATCAGGTAAGAGCACAGTCACCACACCCTCTTAGAGTCTGGCCCTGAACCCCTGCCTGTTAGGAAATGGTCTCTCAGAAGCACCCTTCTGGTTGGCCACCCAGAAAGTGAACTTTTTATGTCTTTCTGGCTGCTAAGAGATGGTACTTTGTGTTGGAAAATTTTCTTCTTCATCAGATGTGCTTTTTTCTGTGATAGCCAATGAAGCAAAGATATGACTTACAAGGGGAGATCTCACAGTGATGCCCATATGTATCCATCTTCTTTCCTGGAAACAGTTTTGCCAAAATCCTGTGAGCCTCAAACAGAGTGTATGAAAGCACAGTTAGTACCTCCTGCTAGTGACAATTATTCACTTGTACTTAGTAATTGAGTAGCTAATGATACTTATCAATGGAGCAGACAGTATCTTTCACTTATGTACTATTGACTGCAGCATAATACACAGTGTGATTCCAGATCCTGAAGGAGTATTGAACTAAACCTACATCTTAATCTTCCTATACCTTTAGTGAGACTTGTCTTCGCCCTCTAAGATACTTTAGGTTGTGGGATGTGCAGGTTCCCCAAAGGCACCACTGTCCACAGTGCAAACACCTTGAGTTCTCTGTCTTCTGATGCAGGGTGTGTTGGGGGAGCATTGATGTGTGAATGTGCTCCCAAACACACTGCAGACAAAGAAGCTGGCCTGCCTGCAGGAGTGGAGGACAGAGGACAGTACTTGGTGCCACCTTGCAGCTTCTCATTCGGACCCTCCTCGTGCTTGGCCTGTTTCTGCTGTGTTCTCCAAGAATCCGCATCCATCATCATCATCATCATCATAACTATAAATCCTTCCTGGACTTGGAAGCTTGGATGAAACAGACAAATTTCATAAACAATGAGACGGCTAACTACCCAGAACAGAAGCAACAACAAAAATGACAAAATCAACCCAGGGTCTCCATCACTATCTGTATCATGGTTGTCATTGTGACCACTGGGCTCAGTGTATGCTCCTGGGAGACTTGATGGAACCACATGTGGCAGTCCAGCATGTCTGTTTGAAGAGAGACTTGTGTGCACATACTCTGGCAATGGGGTGTTGATTAGCATCCTTCTGACAGCCTTGGACCTTCCCTCTGGGCAGCCTGGCAGACAACCAGGAGCTGCCTAACATGAGGATCTGTTTTTAGAGCTGTGTCCATGGTTGTTCAGACTCTCCTTACACTGACCTAGATCTACTGCCTGCTATGACTTCAGCAACATAATACATACATGTACACTAGCCTGTTTCTCCTGAGGAAAACTCAGGACAAAAGAATGTTCCAACCTGGTCCTCCTGGGGAGTAGGAGACTATTGTCAAAGCAGGGAGGCATGGCGTTACAGGAGGCTTTTCAGTTTTGTTTTGTTTTTTTGTTTGTTTGTTTTTTTAAGTAGAAGCATGAAAGTTTACTTCAGCACTTTTTTTTTGTTTCTTGTGGTCAAATCCAGGGCTTCATGAGTACCATTTGTGCTCCACCACAAAGTTACATCCCCAACACAGAAAGTAGGAGTATGCTTCAAAATAATGATGAACTGATGGTGGATATCTTTCTTTATATATGTTTCTCTAATTGGTTAATCAATAAATTACTGTTTGGCCAGTGAGGCAGAAAGATGGGTGGAACCAGGAGACAAGGAGAATTCTGGGAAAGGTAGACAGGGGAAGACAAAAAAACAGTTGCCATGTAAGGACTGGGAAGAAAGGACACACCAAAGGTTCTCCAGTAAGACCACATGGAAATATATAAATTTATAGAAATGGGTTAATAATTAAGACAGAGCTAGCCAATAAGAAGCTCTAGTCATCAGCCAATAGTTTTATAATTAATATAGTGTCTGTGTGCTTATTTAGGGCTGAGAAGGGCTGCGGGACATGGCAGGACAAGAAAACTTTCGTCAACAATGAACAGTGTCTGGTGGGAGACACAAACCAGGAGTATAGTTTTGCTGTCCTAGCCAGACATGGCATACCTTAGAGAATTATACCCTCTGTGCTGTTAATAAAACTGGAAATGAGTCAGTTTACAAACACAAGCATAGGGGAATGCATTGCAGTGTGCTGTTAGGGAACAACAACATACATGGACACAGGAGCTCGAGGCTCCATTATAGTTTTATAGGAGACTGTCATAGCTGTAGTCTGTCCTTGGCCAAGGATGTCACTATAAGACCCACTCTCTCATTTTTAAATTCTTTTCATTGTCCCTTCTGGCCCCAAGAGCTTTGGGAGTCATGGGTTTCTGTGCTGATATGGCCAAGCCCCAAGTCCCACAAACACAGCTAGTCTTGAAAATATCACAGAAAAATCATCAAGGTTACAAAAAATTACTTTCCAACCCTGCATTCCCGAGGAACACGTGTTTTGACAAGAAGCACAAGAAGGACCTGAAGAAGACTCAGCCAAGTGATACAAAGACCATGGATGATGAGGTAATGAAAACCCTTGAGAAACCCAAGGAATTTGTACCAAGATGGTTAAGGACCCGAAACCATGGCTCTGATGACCTCCCTTATCACCCGTGCCAAGCTTTGGAAACAAATTACTCATTATACAGCCAAGAGTTGCACAGGCTCTGCCAACCAAAACTCAAACCAAAGTGGAGGCTGCAACCCCTGCCCTGGATCCAAATCCATCCCAGGTCCCTTATCAGGGTACTATGGTAAAAAGCATCTATCTGCCTGTGTGAAGACAGATGGACTGGTGCAATGACCACTACACACATGGCTAGCATGACCGCTCATCCTGTTAGCACATGGCTGGTGTCCTCGGCTGTTCCCACAATAATAAACTTGAGGCTGTTAAAAAAATAAACTATATCTCATTATATGCAATGACTCCTTGATGTAGAATCCAGATCATAATGTTACGTTCAGTTTTCTGTGTTGTGCTTTTCCCAGTCAATATTTAGTAAAGATCTACCTAAGAACCAACTTGAACTTCTAGAGGCAAAAGTGTCAGTATTTGAAATGGCAGTTCACTGCTCTGTGTGAACTTAGACTCCATGCTAGAGGGAAGTGTGCTAGGGGTGGGGGGTGAAGAGAGGACGAGTCAAGAAAGAACATATAGACTACACTGACTAAAGTGTGGCGGGCAGCATTCTAGGAATTCCATGCCTATGTTCCAATAGAAATGCTGTCAATGGAGTATTTGAAAACCTCCACTGGAAATAATATTTGAATTAAGAAGCATGAACACCTGTTGACCTGAAGGTTCTAGACTCCAGCTGGTAGAAATAAAATGAAGGAAGAGATATATTTGTGAAATAGACCTGATAGTAGCTGACTGGAAATTATATGGTGCCTTTAATCAGGGAAATGGATGAATAAGTTTTTCTGGCTTAGTTTCATTCTTCAGAATATAAAGAAACCATAATCTCTCTCTCTCTCTCTCTCTCTCTCTCTCTCTCTCTCTCTCTCTCTCTCAAGAAAAAAAGGAGCGATTTATGTGAGAGTTTAGAGGGAGGAAAGGGAAGTAATTATAATCTATAAAAAATAATTTTAAGTGCTTAAGTTTTTTTT